CTGAATCTTTTTCTTTCCTGCTACAATACATCTGTAACCTGATGGAGCTCATTGCTTACATGAACTTCCTTAACATTCGCTTGCTTACCACAGTCAATCACTGAAGTGTATACAGAGTCTAAAGTTAAATACATAATGAATTAAGAGCTGTAGCAATTTTATATAAAAGTGAACTTTTTTAAGGTTGTAACCTTAAACAGTAAGTAACTCGAGACAAGCAAGTTACCTGATGTAGTGTCTTCAAGAGAAAACATAGGGAAAAACAGAAATAACGAACCTGAGTTTGGTTGCAATATAATGTTTACATCTTTCTCCATACATGCTGTGAGAAAATGTCCTTGGAGAAAAGCAAAATCGATCACTGAAAAATGTCTACTTAGCCAAGAGTGATGCCAACAACAAGCATCAATGTAAGAATTTAAATAGGTTTCATCTTGTGATTCAACACAGTTATTTAATGCTGTTTGGCTTTTTAAGCACATGCAGCAATATAATGGTAGCACTGTTATTTTAAGTGAGAAAATTCAACAAGGTGAATATCACTTTCTCACCAAATTCAGTTATGTAGTAGTCTATTTGATCTTAATTTCCATAGTATTTCTGTATAGCCACCTTCTTGTTAACAGCTTTTTCTTAGAGTCGTCAAGCAGAAAGCAGTGCTTAATAGATACTAGATATTTTGTCTGAACTTTCTGTTCACTTTTGTTCTGATGACACTTACCATGGAAAAGGGCCTAAGATTGCAATGAGAAACAACAAATACGATGTGAAAGTAGATTTAAATGAACTGATTAACGGGCACTTCTAGGAAGCTTATTTATGTTTTAATAAATGTTGATACACATCCTTAGATCTTGTTTGGGAGAGCTCCGCCATAGGAATACCAAAATTCAGACCATTCTTAATCCCATTATATGCACTGATCATATCTGGTCATTTGTATTGAATATTTTTTCCTAGATTTGGTTATGTGGTGCAATCTGTGAAGCTGGTGAGTAATTATTTATGCTCGTAATCTAGTTGTAGTAAACACTGGCCCATATCCAGATACTAATATTTCTACCTTCAGAATCAGAAATACTCGCTAAAAGTCAGTGTTTACCTTTACTAACTCTGCTTTTAAATTCTAGAGCTGTAGAAGAGCTAAGGAAAAATAAAGCAAGCTGTCTGCCACTGCCAAAACATTCTTCAATTTGTCCTTTGTCAACAAAACAAGGAAAATACAGAATCAGCTATAGGATAATGTTAGTGATGTTATCCTTTGCATCTCTGTCATCTATTTGACTTCTGTTGAAAAGCAGTCTGATTTGGTGCCCTACTACTTTACTGTACATCCATGCAGCTAATTAAACGTGATGTGTTATAACCAGACATAACCATGCCATCTTTATCTAGCTAATGCAAGCTGCTTTAATACTGAAAACACGGCAACATGCACATAACTAAATCCAAAATACAATGCATTATATGTATTAACTAAAATAAGGCTAGAGTGATTGTCCATGTTATAGCTGCACTGGTTGTGAAGAACTGTGGAAAAGCGGATGGCTGCTTTTCTAATATACTTTGAAACTACCTTGAAGTGTTATTTGTAATACTGGCTGTACTTATTCTTGTCCTACTGCAATAAGGCTATACAGAATGTTTTATTATTTGAAAAAAGAAACGACCCACAACAACAAAAAAACACTTGCATTTGATTTTGTAAGATAACATCATGTTTAGCAGTGGACATTGCCATCAGCTTTTAGAACTCTAACCAACTGCCTTCTCAATAACAAGCCCAGTCTGCACAGATTTCCCTGGAAAGACTTTGTAAATATTAGGAACCAAATTCACTCAAACAAAACACAACTTTTTTTTTGCACTATGCTTCACGAGTATTAATTGAATACTTAACACTTCTGGGCTATCTTACAGTCACAGTAATCAGTGATGGTGAAAGAGTTTTAAGATTAAAAAAAAAAAAAAAATTCCCAGCAGTCTTGCAGTACTCAAACACTTGTCCTAAATCATTTTTACTGAATGTGTGTTTAGTCCAACCTCATACCCTGAGGTATAGATATGAGGAGGAAACTGAAATAAGACATTTCAGTATACACATAAGCCAGTTTTCTGTTACTGTATTGTTGCATAGTTGATCAGCTGTTAGCTCTGCAAGCTCAGAGATGAGGGGGAACAACTGGACCAGAAACCTGTAGTTGCAACTGTAGTTGGAAATTCCAAGGACAATAATAGAGGCTGATGATCAACACTACTTTGGAAAACCTCAGATAAAATAAGAATGTCTTTTGTTTGGGGGACATGTGGGTAGGGATAACAGGAAAGCCAGTATTAGACCTTTTTTCTTGTTTTTCCAAGAATATGTTCAATTTTGAGTTTTATCTTGTATCTGATTTGTTAGTACTTTAATATGGTACTTGTTCAGCACTCATGCATATTTCTGAGGGAGTATTTATCTTCCCTACTTGGGTGCCAGAGAAACACCTGCTCTCCATTTTGTTCTCTTGTTAATACAGAATAATGAGCCAAAAAAAAAAAAGCCTGTTTTACAAATAATTCTATTTTTGTATGTAATTGGATTTTAGTAAAGTCATTTAAATTCAGTGCTTGAAAACAGAATAGCATGTGAGGTGTGTAAGTAATACTATGCTTCCTCTAGCCAAGTATAGCCATGACAGGCTTCAGTATAGCCCCATAATTACTACAGGAAATATGTTTTACTGGGGAAAGAAAATTCTTTATTTACTTGTAAAAGCATAGTAGTAGAGTACAAATCAATGAACCTGCTTGTGAATTTTTAAACTACCTAAACTTCAGCAATTCAGACTGTATCATGAACAGCTGCACCAATCAGCTGCTTGTACTTACTCAGTTAATAGTAGCATGTTTCTATTTCTAAAAATCTTACCTTCTCTTTGAGGCTGGCAGGCGAAAATGACCTTTGAGAACCCATTTAAAAATGACCAAAAATACACTGATTTTAAGAGACAAATCTGTGTAGGAAGTATGTTTCGTTAGCTATACCTAGATAACTCTTGAGCTTGCTAGTACTGTTTCCTTACACTAGTGTGTGTGACTGGTGACATAACTTCAGGACAATGCAGACATTCAGGAAAAACTGAGTGGGACTCCATTTTTGATACAGTTCACACTTGAAAAAGAAAACAGGTAATATTTGTCCCCAAATTACTATGAACTCATATTTGACGGACATGCCACTATTGTGACTGTTCTTTCCTATATATTTTTGTAGTGTATAATCATTGTTTACAGGTTGTCTGAAAATTTGACAGCACTCCTGAAAACAGTGAAAAGTATCAAGTATCTTGTTCTTTCCCGTTAATAATTATTTCAGTTTACACAAAAAGCCACAGAATGTTAATGCTTTGTAAGAGATCACCTTACTACTACTTTATAACAAGTGAAAAAATACTATCATCAGTTCCCCAACAGTAACATGACAATGTTAATGTAAAATGATATTTGAAATGTTTTTCCTAATGCAGCTTTCAGTGAAAGTAGTTCTTATCAAAGGTTTCATAAACAATTTTTGATTATCCTTTTTCTTGTGAACAGACACATAGCTGTTTTTTTTACAACTTTTGATAATCACCTTTTATATCTGCATGTAAGCTTGTTAATGAAACTATGTATAAGTTTGATACTCACAGAAAATCAATTCTACATAAGTTGTCACCAGTTCTGCAATGTTAGTCAAATATTCATATTAGCTGGTGTGATGGGGTCTATTTGCAAAGATTATGAAGTTCAAAAAAAAATGACACAAAGATTATACAAAGAACATTCCAGAGGTTTCCTGCTTGAAGCAGATTGGTATAATGTGTTCAAGATGCCTTGCTGAGATATTTTTACAGAATTGTGCAACTGTTATATTAAATCAAGTATTTAGTTCTCAGCCTGTTTGTCACTTAATGTTTATCCTGCTCTCTACATCCACTTTTAACAGAAAATGTAAAAATCAGAACTGATGCAAGCCACTCTAGATTCCTCAGGAAAGAGGAGAAATTAAAAGTTAAAGCTGTATTTTAAAAGTACTTGACATGATTAAATCTAGTCAAGGCAGAGTCACGTACTGAAGTATGTGATTGAAATCCATTTCATCATGTCACCCCAGGATCCAGTATTGTAACTGCATCTACAAGTTCAACTACTGAATCTGTCTTGCATTTTAAAAGCCTTAATTATTTATATTGTATTAATGTGTTTCTGAAGACTATAGAGTCAACACATTCCTGGTAAATTGTTAAGCTACTTTTGAACATCTAGACAATTTTCAAAGAGAAGATTAATTCTGTATTGTAATACCACTTTTTATTGTCTATGTACCACCTAGGAAAAAATGTTGAATTCCATTATGTTTTTGAAAGTGTCTTTGGTTATCAGTTTCTCTATAGTACCTTACCCTGTTTGGATCTACTTTGGTGAACAGGCTTCTGCAATGCATCATATGTAAATAAATTTAAGTGAGCAAATTTTTTATTTAAGTTTTATTTATAATACCTAAAGTCTTTTGTAATAAGGTTTAGGTGAAATCTATCAAAACTACTTGGGGGAGGAAGAGGACAGGCCAGCTGATATTTTACAATTGCTTTTAAAAAATATTTTAAAGTTTGTCCCAATCCAGGTCCTCATCATCATCCCAGCTTGCTTCAGTGTTTTCAGTTGCAGTATCTGCATATGCAGTCACATTTTATTTACCTAAGCAAGTGTCATGAAATACAGTTTATACTTTTCTGAACAGCTTAAGTGCTCCTCTAAAATTATTTACCATAGCCAAAAGAACAAGTCATATCTCAGGTTTTATATTTGTGCCTTTCTATAGCTTAAATTTTAAGCTTATAAACTTTCATATTTCCCATTTTATCCATTAGGTGCTACAACTCTTCATTCTATAGTAAATATGCATTTTGTTTGTGCTGTCATGGTTCATGAATCATGAAGCAGCATTTTATAAATTCACTTTAACTTGTATTTTCTCCTAGAAACTACTTCTAAAAGATCTCAAATAACCCTGTCTTAGTAACTTAAACTGCTTGGTTTTTTTTCTTCCAACAGCTGAACAAGAGATACAGCTTTAACCTATCTATCAAAATGAGCTCCTTATTACTTAAGCACGTGTTTTGACACACTTGCTGATCTTGCATTTTAAGTTGAAATCTATTTGTTTATTTTTGAATATTCAGTCTTAAGTGACTTGCTACTTTGCTATCCCATTTTACTCTGTTCCTCTTACATCTGTAAAGGGAAGAACTAAAATCAGATACTAAGTAAAAGCAAGTTACTTGCTTGAAAGAAGAACATTCTTAGGTGTCTGAGGCTGTAGCAGGCTCTTGCTGCTTACCCACCACACTAGAATAAAGACTTCATAGACAAATGTCAGGAAGTCTTTAAAAGGCACATTAACTCTCTTCCATTTAGAAAGCAACAAGTTACCTGAAATTCAAGGATGTCTAATAAAACAAAAACAGAAAAACTGCCTCCCATTAACATAACTTTGTAATGAAGGGCTGCCAGAGCTTTGCTGTAGCAGAGGGAGAGTGGGTGAGCATGAGTAAAACTGTTTCTACAGGCCTCTTGCCAAGTGTTCCAGTGTTTTTTGATACTAGTCTTCCTTGTACTATCAAAGTCCCGCTACCTTTCCAACATGCACAGCAGTGAAGGAGATGACTGGAAAAAGTTTAGCTAGAAAGGCAGATGCTTTCAGTTAGAGTGACTTTGTAGTATATTGTTTATTCAAATGCTGAAAATCATGGCACTAGTTTTAAAGCCCTTTATAATTAAATCAACAGAACAGTACTCAGCAAGTATATAGCTCTAAGACTCCTCCCCAGTTGAACTCCTTTATGGAATACAAACATACTTCAGTACAGTAGGCTATTTTCTCTTATCTAGAAGGTCCATTTGAAGCATATGCTATCACTTACACTTATGAAAGATCTCTGAATGAAAGTTTAGCTACTGTAAAAGTAGCTATTCTCCATCCAAGTGTTTTGAGCCTGCAGCTTCGGTCAAAACATAGCCAGTAAAAACAGTCTTTTCTGCATCCCCACTGCTTTGAGCAAGGCTAAGGCTAACTGCTTAAATTTTTAGAAGTCTTAGAATACTCAAACATTTATATTGATAACTTTTAAGCAAAGGAAATTCTCACCCTGCCAACAAGAGAAATCCAGCTACAAGTCTAGACCCTTTACCTGCAATCTCTAGAGGGGGGCTTTCCCAAGGCTACTATGATTACTTACATCCTTCCTGGGACAGGAATATCCCCATATATGGGGGAATATTCAAACTCAAATGCATACTCTGATAGATCTGAAAAACAGGCATGCTTGAAAGACAAGCAAGGATCCTTTTTAGTCAATCAGAAACCAAACTGTCATGCCATAGCACAGCTGCTGTTTGACAGGTAATGGCTTTATTACAACAGAAGGCTCCGGGAGCTTTGAGCAAGCGTGCTATTCACTAGGATTTGTCAAGATTGTTTTGCTTTGCTGTGTCAACATGTCAGTTTTAGTCTCTCTTCCTTCCCCAAAGACCAAGTTTCAGAGACTTACTAGAAACTATACAGAATATGAAGGTTTATTTCAAAAGAATACATTTGCAAGAATACACATAAATGCACTCAAATGTAACAGTACCTTCTGCAAAAATAGGTTACATAATACCCAGTAATGCAAGAACAATCTTATTTCTCTACAAATTAGAAAGCAGAGAAGAGCCTGGACAACCTTCAAAATGGAGGTTATAGTTGTGTATGTTGTGGTAAGTAGCTAACTTTAAAGCATGACACCACAGAGCTAATGTTGGTAAATTAAACTACTAGCACACAGCTGCAAACTATTCTTTTATACAAGATTAACAAATATTTTGGTTCCAATTTGTTTTACACAGCTCTAGTGCCTCAGGGAAAATGCTTATCAAAGATACACAAAAACTATCCAAAATTACAACGCAACTATTAAAATGCCTCCAAAATTGAGAGGAAAAGTAATCATGTTAAATTAAAAAAAAAATTAACCAGGATTTCTAGACAAGATTTCCTGTTTTTAATCAGAGAAAGTTTACAAGAGATTTCAATAAGTTATCTTGAAACCAAGCAGTTGCAGATCTTAGAATCTTCGTGGAGGTCCACCTTTAAACGGCTTAAATCCTGAGCCACTTCCCCTCTGCATGGAATTGCCTGTGATCTGTACAACTCTATTAATTGGTGAAGAGTTACTGGAAACAAAGGTTTTAGAAAAGTGTTAAGTTATGATAAGTATCTAAGAGCTTGGTGTGCAGGTAAGAACATTGTTACTTCTCTTATCACTGTACTGTTAAACTGAAGTCTCAAAAGAGACTTGAAACCATGCAAGAAAAAGGCTTTACAAGTCGTCACTCGCTTCAAAGAGTACATGAATAGTGCAGCTGAACCAAACTGCCTAACGCAACAGATCTAAACACCGCGGAGCCTCTGCTGGCTTGGAAGGATGAAGTGTATGTTGTGCAGCAGCAACCCCTTCCACAGCAAGTCATGTTGATTGCTCTGAGACTCTTATACTTCTTAAGCACAATCAGAGCTTTGAGAGCTCAGTGGGGGAGTGAGAGGAAGGAGTATTTTTTGTACCTTGTATGTGGAGACATCATGCCACCTCCTCCACGGCCATCTCCCATTCTCCTTGTGTCATGATACCCACTTCCTTGAGAACTAGGTCCATGCCACTCTTTTCTTGGTCCAGTTTCACGACTATGGCGTTCAACAACATGTCTGTCTTCATTATAGTGCTGGAAAGAAAGTGATAGTCATTTTCATGAAGAAAGATGTATTTTTGTCAAGCCAATATGAAAGAGAGACCACGACATTTTTCAAGAAAGCTAAGCTTGCACTTTCAGGTCTCTGGCAATAATATTAAAAGTCAAGCATCTTAACATGTCAGTCCATTTGCACCTAACCCATGCTTGCAAGACTTGTAAAATTATTTTTAAATAATTGCAAATTAGTTCCATTTTGTTAACAACTATGCTTGTGCTCTACTCCCACTTCTATCTTGATCTCATGATCATGGACAAGCACGTTCCATGTCACTACAGAAAAGGAAACTACTGATTTTTAAACACATCAGGAGCTAGTGTCATGAAGCATTTAGTATGGAGGCTTTAAAGACAAGTAATACAAATGCACCTTAGGTTACAAGTACAAACTGTACTAAAAGTACCAGGTAGCATAAGGTTAGGATCGTGAAAACACAGGAGGATGCCTAATTAAAAAGGCTAATTAGGAACTCATTCAGGTAGGATAGCCATTGCTCTGATCAACCTGTAATAAGCTAAACATAACTAGAGTTCTAGATATTTGGGGTCTTTTTGTTTGTTTTAAAGATGTTTTAAAACAAGAACTTAGTACTAGCACACAACAAACTAAGTGCTACATAAAACATTAGCATATATTCTGGCAATATCATCAGTTCACTTGCTAGCAATTATTTTTATATTTCCCAGTGACTCCGTCACACACACACAGGTTACTCACTTGTCCGCCTCTTTCTCCCATCACACCTCGTTCTCCTTCCCTGCTTCCATACCCAGAGGCGCTGCTACGGCTGCCAGGAGGAGCACCTCGCACGTGCCCCGACACGTCCCTTCCCGAGCGTTCTGGTCTCTCTCCTCTGTAAAAATTACTTTTATCAAAAATTTTGTTTCAGTATAACAGAATTGGTACCAAAGCACAGCACATACAGATTTTAAGATTTTTTTTCCTGCATTTTTCAGGTTCCTAGCCACTTGCACTTACAAACAAATCTTTTGAAAATTTAAAGGGCTTGCTAAATAATCAAAACTGACATATGTTTGTTTACATCTGTGTTTTGACATAAAAGCCTCCTTATGGTGTTACTCTGCATGATCAAGAGTACACTGCTTGGAGTTAGTATCAGGTTTACAGATGAGGTTTAGTGTATATGACAACCTATACATAAGTTTTCCTAGTTTTGCCATTCTTCAGGAGTGGCTTTGTTCTCTATTTAGATAGCAATTCTTCAGGAATTACTACTACAAGTAGCATCTGCAAGAGATTTTGGGTATTCAACAAATTTACCTGCCATCCCGTTTGTCTGTGCTTATGCTTCCTTCACTCTTCCAACTTGTTTGCCTAGGCGGATTTGAACCAGTCTCTCTTGGATGCCGACCATGGGGTATTTCAGGTCGCTCATGAATTATCACTGTTCTTCTTTCATCTCTGTCTCGCACTTCCCGCCTGTCCGTATCTCTAAGTTCACTTCTTGGCTGTGGTGGTTCATTTCTTCTGGACTCACTGAAGTTCTTTGGATATCTCTCAAACCCTGGCTCTTCTCTTCGTGCTGTTGGGCGAGTCTTTTTTGCTTCACCTTGATTTATAAAACGTTCTCGCCTAAGTAGTTGAAGTGGGAAAAAGTCATTTGTTTGGTCTGTATCTTACCCTTACTTTAGCACATACGCACAAGCATGGGTAAGCAGAAAAAAATACTACTCTCCTTCACATTACATATTTATTACAATGTACTTGATACATATATCAAAGATCCCTACCACATCCCTACCACACTAAAATATATTGATTTCTGCCATTATCATTTTGAGCCCAACACAAGTTCTTATCTAACTTAAGATTTTTTTAAATAGATCGATGAGTTCATATTTTGTAAGTGAGGTACTTAAGCAAATGCCTGACCCTTTTACATCTTCCTT